TGTGGGTGTTTAACACTTCTTAGCGACCTGTACTCCGTCCAGTTTCTGCGGTTTACTAGCGGTGTGCATGTTGAGTGTCGCCTCAGTGTTTCTGGCCATGAAGTGTTCAGTGCACCGAGCTCATGAAATCATTAACAGCTCCTCCTGAGGAGTGCTTCTGATCAGTCAGACACACACCTGGAAGGTTTCCTGACTCTGCTTTATCACCAACAGAGACCACAGGACTGGGTACAGGTCAACAGTGGCCTCAGCGCTGGCCTGGAGCTGCACACGTCAGTGATTAAAAACTAACAAATACTGAAACGTCGTCCTGTACTGTCCCTAGAAACAAGCATTAAAAAGGGACAGCGGCCGCTCAGAGATGGGTGAGTATGACATGCTGTACATCACCACAATGTAGTAGAAATATGGTATTAAAAAGGAGTTGATGACAGTAAATCTACTTATTATGGATTCTTTAGGATCCACAGTAGTTCAAGGAGACAGTTTTCAACCAAACATACTCTGGTTAAATAAATGAATAACTACAGATATACTTTGTGTTTAACATGTGCCGTTAAACTCACCAAACAGCGTTTATGACACACACTAGTTTCTTATCACTCTGCAGTGGTATTTATTATTATATTGCAGTAAATTACTGTGGATGATTAAACTGTGACATGGTAGATTTTTTTATAAACCTTTTTGCTTAAAAACATTTTTTAGACTGCTCTGAAGAAAAAAAGAATTGGAGAAAAAAAAAAAGCTTAAAAACATGTAACTTTACCGGTAATGAGTCCAGAATATCTAACATTTTCACCTGGATTTTTAATGTTGTAGAGAAGCGCTGGTGCTCTGTAAAGCACCATGTCAGAAAAAAAAACTGGTCACATTCACGTTGCAGCCTTCCTTGTTCTAAAATGTAAATGACTGATCACAGAGCTGATCAAAGACGTGGAGGTACACGATGTGTGGCGCTGCTTCACACCGAGCATCACATGATCACATGCTGTAGTCCTGAACAGCGGTTGAGCACCGTGTGTTCACCTACATGATGATTTATACATTACATACTGCGTTTATTACACAGATATATCAAAGTAAATCAGAAAAGATGCATTGTTTATTACACCCATTTTCACTGTGTTACTCCACAGAGTGGCAGGAACTGTCCTGGGACAGATGGACAGAATCTCATGTGAGCTCCTGGTTGAGATTCATTGGAACAGAAGAAGCACACATTAAAACACTGGAGGAGGAGAAGGTGACAGGACCAGATCTGGCAACTCTACACAGAGAATTCTTCAGCAATACAGTAGGAATGAATAGTGTCCAAATTGAACATCTCCTGAGGAAAAGAGAAGAGCTCCTAAAGTCAGGGCAAGAACCAAAGCTTTCCTCTCAGGAAGCGTCCGACGAAGCAGAGCAGAGCAGCATTCCCACAGCATGCAGTGACAGCTGGACCTCCTCAGTAGAAGCTCTGTCTTTTTGTGAGTATCGCAAATTTGACCAGAATGAAAAAGACTGCAGGTACGTAAAGCACAAGGTGCTTCCTCCAGAGACAGGAACTGACAACATGCTTGTTCCATGTCACGAATATAAGTCGCTTGAGAATGCACACAAACTAGACTCAAAGCTCCTAAAAGTAAAAGTAGCAATGGAGGTGTTGAGGTTTGCATGTGCATGCATGAATATGAGAGCCAATGGAACAATTCATTTTGGCATTATGGATAAAGTCAAAGGCTCTCATAAGCACGGGGAAATCATAGGGATACCTATCAGAAACCAGGAAGACTTTGTAGATGCTTTAGATTACATTGAAAAATGCTTCAAAGGATCAAATCAACAAACCGATGCCAGGAGTTGCATAAGAAACCCGCGATTCATCGAGGTGCTTGACAAGGAAACTCCTGAGAAGACATGGGTCATCGAATACGATGTTGTCCCAAAGGCAACCACCGTAAAAGGCAAGATATACAGCGTGGGTGTCCCCAGACCTACTGACAAGGACAAAGTCAAATGTGAAGAGAAGGTTCCCTACTACAGAGCAGGAGCAAACACAAAACGAGTAACTGACGATGACCTTGTTGAATTCATCCAAGGACTGAGAGAGAAAGACCAACAGAGAGAGGAGGCAGAAGCTTCAAGCCACGAAACCCCTCTAGACTTCAGAGAGGATCAAAAGAGAAAACTGCGCATCCTGTTGACATGTGGAAAAACACACATGGACAACTCTCTGCGTTACATTGTGGTCACCAGCAAAATTCAGCCCGAGCATCTTGACAGCATAGACTTCTTGGTGAACATGAATCTATTCTGTGTGTTTGATTTTGATCCTGATTCAAAGACATCTGGCTTTTGTGGCACATATAGGAAACAGAAGGCTGTAAACCTTCACTTTCTTAAGGACTACGCAGGTGACGATAGATTAGAGAGTTCAGATTTCATAAAATCTTTGCAGCTTTTTGAGAAAACAAGCTGGATTTTCAGCAACGGAAGAAGCGACTTCCCTGGTGGGGAGCAACCCTGTGACGAGACAACCTGGATCAGAACAAGAAAAAAGAAGCTGAAAAGAGCAGTGTCAGTCATCTGCAATGACATCCTTCCCAGACATTCCTTTGTCGTCCTGTTCTTGCTCACGTCTGATGTTGAGCAGCCACTTGTCGAGACTTTCCATGAATTCTATGCCGAGATGAATGGACATGACTTTTTGACTGTCATATCAGAGTCAAAAGACAACTTCAAAAGGTTTTCGAGCCTTGCCCAGGTGTCGTGTCCTATCTCTGCACTCAAAGAAATCAGTGTTGAAATGCCACTGAGTCATGTGGATGCCTCAGTTCAAAGCATTCAGCTCTCAAAGAATCAGCCCACAAGGAAGTTACCGGTGTTCAGCGGAGGCCTGTGCTTCCTAAAGTCTGTTGATGAGGCCATGCTGGATTCTCTGGAAATCATCAGTGTTGACCAGTGCAATGAAACCAAACTGGAGATCATGAGTGAGGACGAGATCCAACAAACCGAAAGCTACTTCTATCAAGGTGGAAAGATAGACTGGCTCAACTTCTGGCTTGCCGACAAACGCAAATGTGGAGATATAATAAAGAGGGATGCCTACAGAGAAGCTAGCACAATCCTGGACAACATAGCGCATCGTACCAAAGCCAAGCGTCCCATAGAGAGTGTGAGCATATACCACCAACCTGGAAGTGGTGGCAGTACGGTGGCACGTCAGATCCTGTGGGGTTGGAGAAACAAAGTACGCTGTGCAGTAGTCAAACAGGGCAAAGAAATCACCACTGTCTGTGAGCACGCTGTGAAACTGAGGGAGCATGATGAAAACGACAAAAGCAGTTGTCTTCCAGTGCTCCTGCTGTTGGAGAACCACAATGCAGATAGCATCGACGAGCTTAGAGGACAGCTGGGGAATGTCATCGCAACCAAAAAGATAAGTGCGTCCACGTTGTGCTTCATCCTGCTCATCTGCAGCAGGTCCAATGATCCAGAGAAAATGTGCAGAGCATCGCCATCTCAAACAGTGGCAGTAACACACAAGCTGTCCGATGCAGAGAAGCCTTTGTTCTCGGAAAAGCTTGAGCAACTCAAACTGCAGAACCAAACAGATTTCATCCTCACATTTGTTCTGATGAGTGAAGAGTTCAAGCCAAGCTACGTTGAGGACTTTGTAAAAAACCTTCTTGTTAAAACGGATCATTCTTCGCTCACTACTCGCCTCATCAGATTCGTGGCTCTCTTGAACAGTTATGTCGATGATTCATACATATCTGTGTCACACTGCGAAGCATCTCTTGGCATCACTGCCTATGTGGACAGTGCTCAGTACCAGGCCTTTGTGGAAGGTCTCAGTGATGAAGCTAGACTTCTTCTCATCCACCTGAAACAAAGTTCGACACACATCCAATCGATACGAATCATTCATCCACTGGTGGCAAAAGAAATTCTGCGCCAGCTGTCGGCACATGTGCCTCTGAACGATATTGCCATGGATCTCATCACAGACAAGGTTCTCATCAATCACAGGTTCGATCAGGTCACGTTCCTGAAGTTCATCAAAGATTTTTTCATTCGACGAAACAAAAAAAGCAGGGGAGATCTTGCAGACACAGCTTTTTCCCCCTTTATCGAGCATGTCAAAGCCTGCAACTGCGACGGCGACTGCGACTGCAACGTTCAGAAAGCTGTTGATCTGATGAAAGCTGCTTTCATAGCTTTGGGAAAAGATGCATATGTGGCACAGCAGCTTGCCCGGCTGCTGTACATACATTTTAGATTTAAAGAGGCCCTTGAATGGGCAGAAGAAGCAAAATCTCTTCTTCCACACGACACATTTGTCCTCGACACAGTGGGACAAGTTTACAAGTGGTGGTTTTACTGCTTGTTCGATACTCTTGAGGTAGAAGAACCATCCCCTGAAATGGGAATTGAAATCATAAGCATTGCACTCAAAGGAATGTCTGCCTTTCGTGTCTCTGAAAGAACTCCAACAAAAGAAAACGTCACAATCAACAGTTCCTACTACGGCGAAGTAGACGTTGGCTGCAGGCTGCTAAAGTTCCTGTCAGGGGTAGATGTTTTTTCAAACAGTACTGGAAAGTCCGAGTTGATGCGGTACTTGTTAACAGACCACATTCCAGCAGATGTGAAAACACCCTGGCAGAAGTTCCATCAGCAGTTGAAAGGCTTACAGAAGAACCTGAGCCATGCGCTTGAGTACATTTCTGAAGACCTCAGCTACTTTCAAACTGACATCAGTGAGGAGGATGAAGAGTTTGATGCAAGGGATCCAGAACAACTCTACAATCCAAGGAAATGGTTAACAAGGAAGAGCGCTGCATACGCCAAATTTTTTTGCATCATGCCAGAGGACGGCGACGAAGCAGCTGAAGGCAACAGTGATGACTTGGCCAGCGCATCTGAGGAGCTTTCTCCATTCCAACGGCAGATGAGGACCCACAGGCTTGGTGGAGGAAACGTTACGTCCATTCTCAACTTGCATTATGACAAGAAACCACATAACGCAGGAAATAAGCTTGAGACTATTATAAACATGTACCAACAAAACCTGATATGGAAAGACCTCGACCCAGCAGAACTTGCAAACTTCATCTTTTGCCAGATCGCTCTTAACTGCATTCTGCCCGGATCCTCAAAGCTCATGTCCCTTCAACAACTCCAGGATCTCAGCAAGAGATTTATTTCAAGAGGGAGAAGCATGTCATCAGCGAGCGCTCTCTTCCTCCTCTCCCTCCTGTTTTGGCCCGAGACAAGCAACGAACTAAGTTCTGCTGATGCTAAGATCCTCTCATTAGCCATTGATGACCTGCAAAAACTCTGGGAGCTGAAAATCCACCGCATGACTCCAAGGAAAAGTAGAACCGCGACACACTTCTATCTGGCGAAGGCAAGAGGTCTGAACAAGATTGTCCACAAGAGCGCAATTGAAAAGCACATCGAAGGCACTCTGAGTGAAAGAAACCTAAAATGGCGTGGAGGAGAAGTTTGGAAAACCAAGGAGGCTAAGCAGCTACTGAAACGAGTTGAAGGGTGGACGGAAAACGGAAACCTGTTTGTGAAAGTTGGAGGAGATCGCCGGATTCGAGTCATTCCTCGACATTCTTCCTCCCTGCCAAATGGGAATGAAAACGTCACCTTCTACTTGGGCTTCTCCTTCGACGGAGTGGGCGCCTTCGACATCCGAGTAACAGAATAATGTTCAGAGTAAAACCTGGTCGTGATCTCGAGATGTTTCTTTCTAATAGGACACATGAGTGTTATCAGATTTAGTTCCTGATTGGAAAGACTGACTGTAACCAGTTTAAAAATGATTTTCCTGTTCAGGGTTTCTTCTCGGTTGAGTTCAAATTTCCTCAGGTTTTTAATTTTTTTTTTTGAATGTGCTTTTATTCAGCTTTTAAAAACCCACTTCCTGTTAGATATGATAGAGGTCTGCATATATGTAATACATGAATAGATGTCATCTCACTACAGCTTTTACTGGCCGACGATTCTCAAAGCACATGATTTATGAATCTTGGGGTATTGAAATGATTGTGAATCAAAAAAAAAACATTCTTGGCTTGAATTAATGAAAACAGAGACTCAGCCTTGAATTATGAATAAATATTTGTAAAAGCCTTTTTCGAAGTCTTTACCTTTTAGAATATTTCTAAACATATATATTTTTTCAGTTTGTTCCTTTTTCTTGTGCACTGCTTAAATGATTTGAGAAGTGTAATGTATTTGAGTAAACACCAAAGTCTGCTTTATGTTTCAGTAAAACCAAAAGCAGACGATTTCATAGTGAGTTCATGTTTTTGTGCAGAACATCGATGAATAATGTTGTTAGATTTCATAATCCAAATCTCACAAGCATTTTGTTTTGTTTTAAATCAAATATTTGATGTCAAGACTTGATTCTAATCATTATGTTGATAAAATGAAGGGATCTAAAGCTGTTCTTCATCTACAGAATAAAGCTAAACAATGGGGAAAAAAAGTGTCTTTAATAATCAATAATGGAAATAACACGTTACAGTTTGTACACTCATTTATTTAAAAACAAAACAGAGGCATTCAGACTTCAGTTGTACAGATATTGCAAGAAAAATATATCCTGCAGAGGGACGGGCACTAAAGCAGAAAAGCAGTTTTTGACTTAACTCTTCCAAAGTTTCCTGATCAGTCCAGAACCATCTTGTTTTGACAGGTTATGAAACACAAACAAGCCAAAGAAACTGTGAAATCTGCTCATGAAACAGTGTGCTGCATTCTAGGTAAAGCTTTTAATGCTTTACACCATACTTACCCATGAAGACTGCTGTTTAAGTTTAACTGTGTGCTACTGAAGCTGTGTTGAGATGTTCAATAGGTAGTGGCAAACTGTGTTGCACATCACAGTCATCAACACCGTTTGTTGATGGGGAATTCCTTCAGCTCATAATAAGACGTGTAAAAATGCTTCAGAACTGAATCGTGTGCACACCAAACACAGCATGATCAAAGTTAAAGTTATGTTTGTGGTACTTACAGCTTTAACTAACCTGTGACTGGCAGAGATTCGTCTTCATGTTATGGTTAAAATCAAATGATCAAGTGAGGAAAGCTGATGAAACAAACAGGATTAAGTAGCAAAGCCATTTTACAAACACATAAAGACTCATTTGTTCATCCAAACTTCCCAACACACATTTAATGTGTAAACTGGCTGCAGGTGTAATGGTGGTGCTAATGTGGAACTCCAGCACTTAGTGTTTTAACCAAGAGATGAATATTTCATATATGTATATATATATATAACAACATTACAGTGGACTTCAGGAGCAGTCAATATTCTTAGCTTCTAAAAAAACTGAGTTTCATATAAAGCTCTACACTATCAGTAAAGAGCTATTAAATGCAAACAAAGCTGCCTGATGCTTTCATCAGTAAAGAATGGAGGATGTGGCAGATAATAGCTTAACAAGAAAGGAAAGAATGTCGTCTACATGAGCTGACATGCCTGAAGATAATGATGCCTAAACGCAAGAACACAAACAAGGGCCTTCACCAAACTTGCTACAAGTTTGGGGACATTAACATCCAACAGCGTGTGAAGCTGTGAGGGCCCCTGGTAATGAATGAGAAGACAGAAAATGGTGAGACTTGCCTCAGGCTGAAACAGGGCTACACTGAGACAGGGCCTCAGCCAGTCCCCCATGGCATTGCTACAGGGAGAAGAGAAATCTGGGTTTTAGCACTACAGCCACTACTGACCCGGATGTTATGCAGCTGTACAATGCACTCGGTTTGTCAAAGGCCAGTCTGCCAGTGCCATGCACAGAGCATCAGTACAACAGTCAATACACTGCTTATAGTCGAGACATTTACCAGCATGTTTCACTTTAACTAAACATTGGTTATCACTGTTCATCTTTAAGACAATACAAGCCACCCTGTAGCTGGTAAGCCCAGTACAAACCTGCTGTCATGTCTCTGCCCACTAGCATCCCGCAAAAAAGAGTCTTACATTTTTCCCACATTTTATTACAATACAGTTTCACAACGATACACATACCATTCCATTTAATACCGCGTCTATTTAAGGTTAAGGGAGTGTTAACATGGAACAGAACGAACGTTACTAGAAGCCCTCACCAAACAAAGTTGGGGACACAAGTCCAACAGCACTACGTGCTGTGAAGGCCTCACCGTTTAGCTTAGAACAGAAAGGTATTTACATAAAACTTGCCTTGATAAACGGTGGGTACTGCCCATGTAACTCCAGCGCCTTCACAACACTACGAACCATATCTACTACACTTCTATACACCTAAATGAAACATGAGAAGGAAACAAAGCCACAGAACAGAGACGGTTTGAATGAGAATTAAATGGAACAGTTCATAGTCTTGGTTAGGTACAGTGTAAATACTTCCCATGCGCTCTTTTTTCTTGTTGTTTATTTAGTGTCTCTTCCTCATAGCTCAGCAGTAGAATAAACAGTACACTGTGGTACTACAATACCAACACTGATTGCTCTACTAGCAGCTGAGGACATTAGAAAAGGGTTGAGTGTCCAAACCTATTGGAGAGAGGAAGGCAGACTTCAGTAGCGGCCTCCAGGAGACATGACGGGGGGTCTCATGCCCATGGGCGGCCGTGGAGGGGCTCCCTGGTACCCTGGAGGGACCACTGGTGGGGCCTGTCCATACGGAGGCATCCGTCCTGGCATGAAGCCTGGCAGGCCCTGGGGTGGCCCACCGTACTGGCCTGCAACAACACACACACGCGTTAGCTTTTTAATAAGGAAATAGCAGCAAAACCTGTGCCTTTTTCTTCAGAATATATTCAAGAGTGTGCAGCCACGACAGAGGTGGTTCTTCTGCTCGTTATGTTGGGTAGATGCACAGAAAGGAGAGGTCCCATGTTGACAGAGTGGGTCACACAAGGTGACATCATTTACCTGACCTCTGTGCTGCTGTAGTTAGTAAATCGTAAAACCACTAATTGAGACCATGAACTTAATAAGAAAATGTTTCATGAGGTAAAGAACCGGGTAAGAAGTGGGCTCATTTTCTCATAGACTTTTACACAACTGTACTGTACTGTACTGAAGGAGTGGCCCCCTGCTGGCTGTTAGAGAGAATGCAGGCTGCAGGCCCATCACAGCTGGAGGCTATCCATGTTTTATACATCGTGTATAATCAGGCACAGTGGTGCTTTGAGCTATCCTGAAGCTAAGTGGGTTCAACCATCATCACAGCTACCACTTTAGCTGATCCAGTATTTAGCTAACGCCTGACGGACACTTTGACCTGATGGAGTCATTACAGGACAGGTAGGACTCATCCTCTGGGGACTAGGAAGGAGACAGGGCCCCCACATGTAGTCTGCATAATAGAGGACTTGATGGTTGGTTTCTAACATATAAACACTGTTTCTCTTTAGTATCTGGCAGGCTGCATTCAGCACTACAGTTTAAGACAATACTTCCAATTATCACAAAACTACAAGGTGACTTGTACAATGTGCAGAGATTTGATGGCAGAACACGGCATCAGAGCAAAATGACGAACAACTGACACACAGGTGGAGGCACTTCACATTGGTTTACTTACTCAGTTATAAAATGTAGAAAAATGTCCGACTATGTGCCAACACCTGATGCACCTTGTATTCATTTACTGAAGCTACATGCTTACATACAAACAGCTGCACTTGGGATGGAAGTTATGCACAACTTGAAGCCATTACTATACCTTGTAAGTTCAGCAGAGTGTAACATACTGTCTTTATGGCCTTCATATACCAGATAAATTACCTTTTAAAGAGTACGCCATCCCACTGTTTTCATAGATACACTTGCACAAACCATTTTCTACGAGAGCAGGGGTGTCCAATCCTGGTCCTCAAGAGCCACAATCCTGCATGTTTTAGATGTGTCCCTCTTTCAACACACCTGATTCAAATGATCAGCTCATCATCAAGCTCTGCAGAAGCCTGATAACCATCCTGATCATTTGAATCAGGTGTGTTGAAAGAGGGACACATTTAAAACATGCAGGATTGTGGCTCTCAAAGACCAGGATCGGAGAGCCCTGTACTAGAGTCTGGTAATTTGTATTTGCACATTTTTTACTGCACTTACTTTTAAAACGTTGTTAGGGTGAGTTTAGTTGTACACTGTGCAATGACAATAAAGGAATTCTATTTTATTCTCTCTATGCTCACATATGCTGTATTTTATTACAGCCAAATTATCAACAACGCTATTTTCATTTACATATTTTTCTGTGTTTGTTATCTGGAGGAAAAACTAATCACTCTGATTAATCGATGAATAGTTATTTTAGTCTGGACCAAAGTAGGGGAACGATCTATATCGCACCCCTTTAGTCATCGATAAAAACGCTGTCATTTGGCTGCATAGTGAGCATGAATACAGCTGGTGGATGGTAAGGAAAGGATAGCAATGGTGTCTGAGAGAGGTTCTCATCTTATGACGGAGTCTTAGATCCAACAAAAGCTGAGAATAACAACTCTGGTTCATAAAACAACTAAAGGCCTTAAATGGTGAAGGTGATCTGAGAGACAGCAGACGTGGATACCAGGGATGGGATGCCTCATGCCGTGCTGCTGAGGAGCCATGATGCCGCCCACGGGACCCGCTGACGGGGCAGCAGCGGTGGGCTGGCCTTGGCGGGGAATACTGCACTGGTATCTGGGAAGCTGAGCCCGCAGCTCCTCCTACAGCACACACAGAGCAGATGAGGAGGCGTGACTTGACAGTGAGGTTCTGTAGCCCAACAAGGACAAACAATATCAGAAACAGCTGTTTTCAACGTTGTCATGCTGACAGAAACTTTTCCTACAGTTAACAGGCTACTTACTGTAAAAACTACAAAGAGACCGCTGCAGCTGGACCACTTACCAGTGAGACATCCTCATCAGGGTGGATCAACTTACTGGTTGCACTGGAGGTGGTGAGTGTGGCGGGCTTACTGGTCACAGTGGAGGGAGGTTTGGAGACCGTGCTGCTGCCAGCGCTGGGGCTGGACACGGCCGCGGAGGCCTGAGTGTAGGCTGGGAATGTGGGCTTTAAGGGGTCAGAGGAGGTGGATGGGGGAGTGTGGGGGGACCCTGACACAGTCGGCTGGCTCTGAGGGGGAGACAGGAAACAACGCGAGTCAGACTCAGCTGGAAGCCGTGTGAACTTCACAGGACACTTGTAGTTGTATTTTAAGATTACTCCTGTGACTCAAACTGATCCCTGGTCCTTTTAGGCTTGGCATTAATATGTGCACATCTCTTAATCCCTCTTTCCTTCAGCGCCTCCAGCTCCTTTTCACTTTCACTGCAGGCTCAGTTGACCCAAATCAAACATACCAGCTCATATCTACCTCAATGGCAGCCAGGGAGACGGGCTTGTTGATGTGCTGATTTTTTTTTAATTACACACTGTCTGAAACATCAACATTTCTCCAAAAGTAGCCTTACAGGCTTCATTTGGCCTTTCGTTGCAAATATGTACTTCTGTGCAGTTTGGGTGCAAACGTATTATAAGAGAGCAACTTTACTTTCAGCACTGATCTCGTTAATGCCAAGTCTATAAACGATGGTCTCTGAGACTTCTTTATGCCGCTCTCGTTACACACAGAGGAGAGTGAACCCACAACGTGGGACCAAAGTAAAACTACTTTCTTCAAACCTGCAAGAAAACAAACCCAAAAGAGCATGCTGTGCTATGCAGCCCTTCAGCAGTTCAGACATGAGAAGCCCACTGTACAAATCTGCATAACGCTTCAGTTTTTGTTTTATTTGATTCTGAGATGATAAAGCTATTTTTTCAGAAGGACTCTATGAATGCAGATTTGTAGTAAAAGAAAAAGCAAATAAACGCAGGCTGATACAAAAGACACAACGTAGTATGAGGCTCTCTCCACATAAATGCCCAGACTATCCCATCTGTTGCATAAAAAACAGCTTAGGCAAATAAAATAGAGTCAAACTGCCCAAGTACACCACAAGCAAAGTATACACAGTTGTGTGCATGCCAGTTGTAAAGCTGCAGGTTGTCAGAGTGAAGCAGGCAGACAGCTGCGTACTTGTGATGTGAACAGAGCTTTAGGGGAAGCACACTGAGAATCTGCACTTGACGAGCCTGCACTTGTACTTGCAACCCGACTGCCCATCTGTAGCACAGGAAAAAAGGTAAAGAATAGAAAACGTAAATAAAATAATCCTTTAATTAAAGGAATATTTGGGTAAAGTCTCCTTTATGTCTCCCTGTGCGAGCTCAGCTATTCAAACATCCGTCATTCAAGAGGAGAGAAGAGCTGAATGTTCTGTCAGGATACTGAGAGGAGATGGGACCTGTAAATGGAGTCAGACAGACTTTACCTGTCCAGCACTGGGGAACAGAGGTTTTGTGACGTCGGGCTGGGCTGACAGCGCAGCGGCAGCAGAAACCGCAGGTCTGGTCAGCACGTTTGCAGCAGGGGGGACCTGAGGCATGTGAGTCAAGCCTGGACGGTGTGCCACTGGGGGAGGGATGCCTGGTAAAGGAGAGAAAGAGTCACCTATCTACAAGTGTTCATCAATGACACTGCGGTGTGGTAAGTTTGTTCTGAAACTGTATGCTGAAGGGCGCTACCTGGTGGCACACCTGGCATCATCGGAGGCATCATTCCACCCATCGGTATCATCCTGAACACATGAGAAAAGGTCCAAGTTTACAATACAATATGTTACTAAAGTAAATAAAGTTATCGATAAAAAATGCCAAACAGTCACCCTGGAGGCATCCCTGGCATTACAGGGGGCATTCCTGGCATCATGGGTGGCACTCCGGGCATCATCGGGGGAATCCCTGAAACAGATCAGTGTTTAAAACCTGATACCACATAATGAAACACGCTCCCTGACACCTACCTAGACTCACCCAATACGATGTACTGCAACACTCAGCCATATTTTCTACACTAATGAAGCCTGTAACACACGGAAACACGGGACGACGACGCGTCACCATAAACACAGAATTAAAAATGTGGTGTTGTAAAGACGTGGCAGCGCTTCAGCAGCAGCCACATGAATGGAAGAGCCTGACACCGACACACTGTTGTTTAGGGTCAGTTCAACTACCTCCAGTGATAAATACCAGCGACACACACATCATCAACAGCAATGAGAGAACGCTTTGACAGACTGTTCGATGGTTTCGCTTTAATGAATTCAAACTGCCATTAAAGCACATAATGATAACACACATTTTACTGATGTCAACAAATCACAAACACGCTCACGTCTGGGTTAATAAACAGCCTGACAAATCTTCTACATTAGTTAAGGAGGATCAGCAAAATCAGATTGACACTGTTCAGTGTAACTCTGTGTCCACATGACAACAAACCTCCTGAAAGCTTTTTCATCAGTAGGGCTCACTACAGCTGGATATGTACATACACACATTAAATGATCTAAATTAGCAGCATGTGATAGCAGGGAACCTATCATTCACATCTCATGTGCTTCTCTGTGCTCACCTGCAACAGCAGCTTTAGTTATTGATTGGCTGTTACCTGTGACGTTTAACCAATCAGACCACAGTGTCTACACACACACACACACAGAAGCTGCTGCATCAACATGAAAGTAACACATTTCATTCATTTCATCGGGAATGAATGGGTTCACCAAAAAGAACAACAAGGATAATAGGCCCGATAGTTGGCCAGGCTGACAATCAGTCGATTCCTAACAGTTGGCACCTTGCAGGTCCATTTCAGTAACTGAGTCCCACCTGAGTAGCTGCCGGGTGGGATCCCTGGAGCACCAGAGCCAGGAGGTAGGCCCGGCTGGCTCATCGGGGGGATGTAGCCGGCCTGAGGCTGACCTGCTGCAGGCTGCTGGAAGGAGGGACCAGGCTCATCATCATCATCGTACTCATCAGAATCATCCTGGTTCTGCTTTTTCTTCTGAGTCTCTGAAGACAAGGAGGAGCCCGATCAGTCCCCAGAACAGACCTAACTAACAGACCTTAACTACACAGTGCATGCAGGTATTCTGGTACCTTGGTTCTTTTGTTCCAGCACTCGTCTCCTCTCCTCCATGTCTTTTTCTGGAATACCCTCCATGCCGTATATCTCAAGTTCAATGTCTGTCCTTCCAGGTATTGCATTAGGAACTCCATCGATGGTCTCTTTATGTACCTAGACATGAAGCAGCATCACAGCACCTGAACACACCATGTGTCTGACTCTCTGGGATCATTTGCATTATTACTGTTCCCACCTGCATGCAGTGGATGGCCAGTCCAGGACCCGTGTACAGCTTTTTATGGCAGATGTGGCATTTGAAGTGTTTGGCCTTCTGATGCTGAATGAGAATTTTTTCATCATCAAAGTCTCTGTTACAGTACCTGTGTTCACGGTTGAGGAAACTCACAAAGGTGCTGCTGGGTGGTTATGACACAGCTGAGTGTGTGTCACTGTCATTTAGCCAGTACAGACAGAAAACCTCCACACCTGGCTTGAATATCCTGTGAGTGTATTCTTTTTCTAAGCTTGTCAATGAACGAAATCAAAACCGTCGTGCGGACCTCCTGCTAGCGACGAGCTGCTAATGCTAACGCTAGCTAACAGCGAACGTTAGCTTAGCTGACAGCAGGTAGCGCTTCAACCAGCAGCGACAAAACCCCAAACAGAGGCGGAAAAGGATACCAGCACCAAGGCTTCATCTGCTTTTTCTTCTTTCTCCCCATAATTCCAGCTCTGCCAGCCCACCGCCTGCTTCGGTACAATCAAACACTTCACAGGAAGATGGCGCGGGGCGGTGAGCGGACATGGAGCGGCTGCGGTGGCGCCCCCTGCCGGAGCGGAGGGACGCCGCCGCCTCCACAACGCTGCTGCCGGACTCCAGTCAGACTGACTTGGAGTGATGTCAACACAGTGATTCAGCACGCAGCCACAGAAAAGTAATAACCTAATCAATCCACTGTCCACAGCCCTCAAAGCAGTCCTTATTACATGTTGTACTTTCTTACAGTGCTTCTATACTTTCTGTTCAGTCAAAGTCATTCTTCCATCAAACCACCCAACAGGTTTCTCTCATCACAATTCTTTATTATACACTTTTCATTATTTAGTTTATTTAGTAAAAGTGAAATGAAAACGTAGCACCCAGTTTGTATGACAATTCTTCTTTTTTCTATTCTTTCTTCTGCTGGCAATTTCAAAACACGATTGGAGTCTCACTTTTTTTCTTGACTGTACTTCTTCCTGACTCCTCTCTTACTTTCCTTTTATTGAACTGCTGTCTTGCATGGATTGGGTGCCTGATTTCACGTACTTTTCTCCTTCAGTCCTTTGCGATTGTAATTTATCCTCTTTTCTTGTTGTTTTCAGTGAGCCATTATTATCCCGTTCATATCTTCACATGTCCTTGTCATTTCCTCCATACATTAATATTTACAGTCACATATTATTCCTTTTGTCTGCTCACTCCTGTAGTTTGTCCTTTGCTAGTGTTGGCTGGCCTTTGTTCTCTCCGTAGACCCTCACCCCGGCCGGCCGAGGCAGACGGCTGGCCTGACCCTGAGCCTGAGCCTGGTGCTGCTGGAGCTCTCTGCTTGTTCAAAGGAAGTCTGTCTCCTCCAACGTAATAAATAGAGAAGAAAAGAAAACCTGCTTATTGAGAAAATCCTTGGATTTGTTGGGTTTACTTTCACTGTAATTTTTTTGTGGAGTCACAACATTAGTTCTGAATGTGTCGGATTACCCTCAATAGTTAATGATAGTGTAGGACCTGAGCCTCAGCAGTCCCGTTAGTTTATCTCCATAGTTAATGCTAGTGTTGGGTCTGAGCCTAAGTAGTTATCATAGGCAGGTAAAGTTGTTTTTGTATTATTTAGTAAGATAAGATATGCCTTGTTCTATCTAACATTGGAGAAATTCAGTGTTGTCAGCAGCAGTACACACAGAAATACACACATACTAGAAGAACAATGTACATATAATAAGTAAGTGCAGACACACGTATAAAATGCACGTATAAAAAGAGAACAGTGCACGTATAGAATATAAGAATGGGAATATATAGAAAAGATACATACACACATACATACATACATATATATTTACACACACACACACATATATATATATATATATATAAAATAAGCTATAGAAAATAAGGAATACAGATATAATAATAATAATAATAATATACCGTGCAAATGCAAATATATACATTTATACATGTCATGGAATTTTGCAAATAACCAGTGTTGTATAAATAAATATATTTCTAAATATAAATGGTTTGTTTATTGTACATGAAGGAAAAGGGGGATGTTGCATGTTGTTGGTCTACTGGGAGCATCCAGCAGCTGGTTGTGGAGTCTCACAGCAGAGGGGAGGAAGGACCTGCGGTACCTCTCTTTGGAACAGCGTGGATGAAGAAGCCTGGCACTGATGGAGCTTTACAGTCCCATGTAGGGGGTGGGAGGTAATGTCCATGATTGTCATCATCCTCCTGTCACCCACCACCTCCACAGGATCCAGACTGCAGCCCAGGACGGAGCCGGCCTTCTTCTCCAGTTTGTTCAGACTCTTCCCCTCAGCAGCCGTGATGCTGCTGCTCCATCAGACCACACCATAAAAAAAGGCTGATGCCACCACCGAGTCGTAGAAAGTCCTTAGGAGGCCTTCCTGCACACCGAAGGACCTCAGTCTGCGCAGCAGGTGGAGTCTGCTCTGGCCTTTGTTGTACAGAGCTCAAGTGTTTACGGTCCAGTCCAGGTTTTTGCTCAGGTTGCTATCCAGCAAAGGTCTGGAGTTGATGTGTCCACAGATTGTTTTCAGGCTCCTCCAGACACCACTGACATCCTTCTGCTGGAGCTGTTCCTCCATCCTCCTCCTATAGCTGCCCTTCCCCTCTCTAATCTTCCTCCTCAGTTCTTTTTGCACAGCTTTCATCTGGTCCGTGTCCCCCAGCTTAGAAACCCTCCTCTTTTCCTTAAGGAGGGTCTTTATGTCCGGAGCAATCCATGGTTTGTTGTTAGCAAAGAGTCTTACTGTCTTGGTGGGTATGTTGGAGTCAACACAGAAACTGATGTAGTCTGTGATGGAGCTGGTAAGACTGTCGATGTCCTCCCCGTGGTCCTCACAGAACACATCCCACACTGTGCTGTCAAAGCAGTCTCTTAGTGTCACGATTAGTCGTACTCATCCTTAATATTTAGGTTACTCAGGTAAACCGACATCATAAATAACACATATAGATTAAGTTTCTGCTGTAAGCACTATGGACACTGCTTTAAATGTGCTAAATATGAATGATAGTAAAATATTTTTTTTTAAAAACAGTGACTTGATGTGACTTTTGTATCAGTCTCCTGCTATTTATTTACAATTATTCCACGTGTCCTCTTCCCATGAACAGAGCGAAGCCACAGGAGCCTCCCTTCACAGCCCTGGACTTTGCAGAACTCTTATTTAAAGCTGCACGGCTAGCAACACGGCTAACTACACGGCTAGCAGCACCGCCACCGCCAGCTGCACCGCCAACACCACGACCAGCACCGCCAACACCACGAACAGCACCACGACCAGCTGCTGCTGCACGGCTAGCAGCACGGCTAACTGCAGGGCTAGCATGGCATTTTCACAGCACGTTTAACAATCTTCATAAACTATCAGAGTCCAAACGGATGTTTGACGTAGGAACCAACAGAAGACAACTATGTTGTACTGGGACTTATTTTAAAACGTACACACCGGGCATGCGCAGTAGGCACGTAAAAGAAAAACATCGGTTCGTTGTCGAGTCTCTGGTGTGGGCTTTCTGTTGAATGTGACCCAGTGAGTCCAGCTCTATTACCGGCTACAGCAGCACAGGAACGATACGATCCCTTTCCACGGGTCCCTAAACCCGAACCCGAACCCGAACCCAAGCCTCCGCCCGCCCAGCAGCATGTTCACCTCCCAGACCTCCTCCTTCCAGGACTCCATCGACGTGGAGGAGAGGGAAGACTTTGACAGTGAAGAACTGGCAGGTTTCACCCAGAAGGTCCAGCTGAGCTGCTACTACACCATCTACCTGTACCAGGGCACCAGGTGAGTCCGGTTCTGCTCCGTGTCTCAGCTGACGAGGGTTTCCAGTGAGTCCTCAGTGTCAGTCCTCCTGTTTCCTGACTGTCAGTCTGTGCTGTTGCTCACCCGTCTTTCAGAAGGCATCGTGTGTTCCTGAATGAACCAGGAACAGTGGTGTCACTACGGTGAAGTCTGGGCTTGTTGTCGTTGTCCTGAACCTCTGCAGGTAAAACCGACTAACAGGTGATGAGTAAACTGTCGATTGTCTTAGATCTGAGGCTTCTGGGGAGAATGTGTCGTGGAACCAGAGACGAGCAGACTCCACAGCCAGTCAGGATGACTTTAGGTAACCGGAGCGCCTCCTCCTCTCGCTGTCACTGCTCCTGTCTCTTGGCTTTCATGTGTTGGTGTGTCCACGGCTGCTGCTGGAAGTCCAGTACCACGGAGTCAGTGCTGTGTTCATTCGTGATCTGTTCTGGTTGCTGTGCTGCTGAGCTGCATGGCCTCCAGGCCTCCCAGTCTCAACGCTGTCCTCACTTCCATGGTGCTGTGGAGCTGGCAGACTGAGTGACTGAGAGTGGGAGACGCTGGCCCTGTGGCTCAGTGCTGTGATGTGTTGATGTGTGGCTTCTGGTCATCAGCTTTCTCCATCTCCTCTCATTGACTTGGTTTGGCTTCCAAATGTCCCGTCGCCTACACCTGCTGCTGCTGTCCCACTGACGCTGTGTCCTGCCCACAGCCTGACGCTGGTCGACAGCAGCCTGCCGTCGGAGGCAGAACCGGAGCTGCGGACCTACATTTCCAGGAGGCTGAGCAAAGGAGCCCTGCTGGGGGGGATGGGCAACATCGCCACCGTGGAGCTCAGGTAACAACGTGTTCTCCAGCAGCCAGCTGGTCGCTGATGAACCGCCCTGTTTGCTGGCTGATGAAGCCTGTTGATTCCAACACGGTGCTGACTCGTGTTCAGCTGGAAGCACAGATTCAGATACTATTTGCTCTGTGCAGCGTTCCAGAGCAGGCGGTCGGCTGCTACTGTTGTCTCCTGGAGCAGGAAAGGTCTCCTGAGCAGCCGGATGCTGATGGGAACGGATACGTCATCTGCTTCATGGGAGGCTCTGAAAAAGGACTCAACTTATATCCTTCTGCATCGTGCAGCCACACAAGGTATAAGCAGCATGAAGCATTATCACATGTTGCACATGATCCACTTCATTGTTCCAGTGGTTCTACCACCAGCAGTGCTTTGAATGCCTTGACCTGATGCACATTCAGATTGGAGCTTGATAAATACGTCCAGGGCCTTCGGAGCAGCCTGCAAGCCCCCGAGGTATGACTAGTGAAGACAAATGTCTGGTGTTGTGTTACTACTGACAGTCTGACATGTCTAACTGTGTACCTGGTAGCTGCAGAACCTTGAGACGGAGGTGCGTCCCTACCTGAGCCAGTGGTACGAGGAGTCTGTGATGCACATTCATCGAGTGGTGCAGCTGGTCCAGAACAACATCAGCTTCCTGCTGCACGCTGTGAGTGTTTCAAAACACTACAGGAAATACACAAGAGGCTCCAGGAGGCACTGGGGCGAAGACAGACTGAACTAAATACAACTCTGAAGTTGTGTGACTTGCTCTGGAGAAGGGTTTGCTAAATATATATGTTGTTAGATTAGACAAAGAAGCAGAGAAGTCAGCAAACAGGAACTGTTGATCCAAAGCAGTTCACCACAGATAACTACAGTCCAGCGTTGAACTCACAGAGGAATTACTGGTATTTAGTTTAGATACTCAAACACTGAGAACCGTTCTAGTTACTGAACTCCAGACAGCATGACACATCTGTGGCCCTCCGTCTGCTCTGTCACCCTAACCCTAATGTCACCAACACTGAGCTCTGAGGAGCTGTTCCTGGTAAAAGTGGCTCATTAGTAATGCCACTGAGGCACCAAACCGCCCAACGTTTTTTATGAAATGACACCAAAGCTCAGAGAAGAGCGTCACTGTGGTTCTGAGTGAACTGTCCCTGATTCTTTACAATACACTTCTCCAGTCGTGTCTAAACTCTGTCTGTGTGCAAATGATACATATTTCTTTGCAATGACTTCCAGCCACTAAACCTTGTGTATGCAGGCTCTGAGCCACACTCATGTGGAGGTCGTCAATTCAGACGAGAGGACCAAGGCTGACGTAACCAGGTGACCACTCCACACTGACCCTTCTCGTCTTTAAATCCCTGCACTGCTAGCAGTAGCCGCTGTGCCTGCTTGTTGTTGACCTCCATGTGTGTGATGGCTGCGTCCTGCTCAGGTTCATCAAGGCAGCCAGTCTGCAGGGCCTTTCCCAGCAGGACACCACAGCAGCGTCTCTTTGCAAGGCCATCTCAGAGGACACGCTGTCGGACCTGAGCATCGACTGCTCCACCAGCCCCCCCACGCTCACCAATGGCAGTAGGTCCTGTTCTAAGAAGTACAGATCCACTGCGTCTGTTCTGTCTGAGAGTCTGATCAACATGTCTGCTCCCTCAGTCAGTAATCGTTTCTGTGATGACTGGATCCAGGCGTTTCTGAACGCTGCAGAGCGGTGCAACCCCTTCCTGCTCCGGCAGATTCTGGAGAACTTCAAACTGAAGGTGGGAAAACACGCTCACTGTGGTAGGGTTTTTTTCTGGATCCTGTTTTCTGTTCCTCAACTCAAGTTGTCCTGTAGCACACTGATCTATAGCATCTATTAAACTACATTTATTACATCTGATAGCTTTTTAATTAAATTATAGAAAATCTGACTATCAACATGAAATACGAATGTTTCATTTCTATACTTCAAATCTTTCAAACATCTTCCAGTCGTCCGCAGGTTTGAGACCTGGTGGATCATGGCTCCCAGTTCCTCTTGGCAAATGTGCAATATAAGCTCTTTTTCAGTTTCTTTCTTTCATCCTCAGCTCTTCCCGTTTTTCACGTTGTCACTTCCTCTCCCACTCTGCAGGCCATCCAGGACATGAACAGTCTGAAGCGCTTCGTGCGGCAGGCAGAGATGAGTCACTACGCTCTGTTTCGCTGCTGCCAGTTCCTACAGGGCTGTGGAAACGGGGATGTGCTGCTGCAGAATGCCAGAGCGGAGCACAGCGACCTGCCCGAGGCCTGCAGCATCATCACCGTGCTGGAGGATTTCCTCCGGGAGCAGAGCCAGGCCCAGGCATGACTCCTCTACGGCAGAGTCTGTGTGTGACACCTAAACCTATGTACACTACATCCCACACATCACAACATTAAATTCCCTGATAAAAACTTGCAGCGGTGACAGTTTGAATATGCCAGCTACAGAATAAAATGTAGATGATTAAAGTTTGCTGTGCTGGCGACGAGTGCAGCTAGTGGTGGTTAAATCTGTGATGCTGCTGTAGAACAGCCAGCAGCTTCTTTCTGACTCGTGACAGTTTGTTGGATCAGCAACGTGACTGAATTGACGACGTTAACGATTAGACGTTCATGGAAACTAACATAAAGTGAGTGTGTGAGTGAAGGTGAAAACATTTTAGATGCAGCTGTAGACAGAAGCTTCCCTGAACTTTCTGTGTTTGTACATAACAAGACTATGAACCAAATATTATTTCTGGTGTTTTGCTGACTGACAATGATGACATCATAGAACGGATCCAAACGTTTTGCTTATTTATGATCTAAATGTCGTTTTATTATCGTTCTGTACTAGTTTTCATATTGCAAATGCACGAATCACTTTTATGCATTGGTTGTTAAATGGCCTTGTGTTTGCTTAACCTGCACTACTTTATGTCGTTTATCTGCTGTATGTACATACTGTAGCTCTGCTCAGCCCTCTGTGGAGATGCATGGTCACACACGTGGTGTACTCTCTGGATATTGTGTGTACATTCATTGTTTGTTGTTTACAACCACCTTCACCAGCTCAACAGCTCCTGTGTGACCAGTCACTACATTTACTACGTGTTTGTCGTTGAATCTTTCTGCAGTATCACAGAAAACATGTTCTAAAAACTACATGATACCTTAAAGTGAGTTCAGTTTCTGTCCTTGTGTTCTTTAACGTTCCATCAAACCATGAAGGGTTTTAACATTAAGCTCAAATCATTCCCCTTAAATCCAAAGTATGTAAAACAGCAATATCAGTGTTGACGGTGTATACGTTTAAACTGTGAACCATGAGGCATGTAGAGGAGTCGTGTTGCTCTTGTGAACCATTGTGTGACTGACCCACAGTGCAGATGTGTGGACTTTTCTGTACAGCGTGTTCTCTGTAGTTAAAAATGATCGCGTGGTTCTCAGTCTGGTGTAGGAGGAGCTGAAATAAATACCACAGTTGAACCTCTTTGTTGTGGTTTTGCTTGTTGTCTAAAAGAAAAGATTAACAGCGTCTCCAAAAACTATTTACTTGTTATATCTGTTGTATAAATACACTTTGACTTGAACGTGGACCTCAGGGCTGCAGACATTAAGCAGGAGCAGTCTGTACAAAGACATCAGATGAACTGTGAGCTACATGTGCTGCTGTTGTCCTCAGACTCCATCTTCCAGTTTGTTTCCTTCTCCAGCTGCTCGTCTGCAACAGAAACAAACGGCTAAAGCATCAGACGTGCAGATGAGAAACGTTGCATGTGTGGTTCTTCTGTGTGAATTCAGATTGGACACATTATGAGCAGTCCTGTGTTGTATTTACGTCTTTACGTTCTTGTGCTTTACGTGAGTTTTTTTCCATTTCATGCAGTTTTTACTTCCATTTAGGTACATCTCAGAAATACTTTGCTTTTTACTCCACTACATTCATGTGATGGCTTTAGTTACTGTCAGGATGACAGACTGTAATGGATTCTGAGTTTGTGTTTTTCTAATAAACTGAAGGATTTATCACTCCTTTATGAATGGAGGGCATTTAAATTAGTCTTCATTAATTGTAAAGTGCATCATCACAAAGCTGAAATGTGTCCCTGAGCTTGACTGTTTAGATGATTGTACTTCTCACAGGACAGAACGGATATAAACAGTAGATCCATGAGCTCAGGCTTAAACACTCAGAGCAACAGAAAGCAACATGCACATTAATGCAGCGCTAGTGTTCATCCAGAAACACCACATGTAAGAGCAGAACACCGCTCAACCGTCTGAATACAGGACTGGAACCCGTAGCGGAGTATTTCTACGGTGTGCTTTTGGTGCTTTTCTTAATGTAAGAACAAGTAAAGTTTAATAAATGAGACTTGCTACCAAGTTACCTGTAGTGTCATCAGGCGTGTCCCTCAGAAGAGAGCTTGGCACGTCGTAGATGCTCTCTGTGAGCTCTGAATCTGAGAAAGCAGGAAGAAGTTTAGAACTTCAGTATAAGCAGTAGTTTAAAAGTCAGCCGCCGTTCAAAGCGTAGCCTCACCCTGATGTTGGGCTGAATTCCTGTAAGACTGAGGGAAGTCGTACACGTTGTCCTCCATCTCTGGTGCGAGGCTGGGCTCACACGTCTCTACAGGTGAACACACCAGAGGTCACTTTGTTGTGCTGTTAGAGATCGTAAATGGCTGAATGTATATTTGAGATCGTACTGTTTCTGATGGGTAACACATCATAGTCTCCTTCCTGTCTGTCCTCTGCCGTGTCCAGCACACTGCACCACTGAGGACCATCTGAAAACACAAGAGTTCAGTTTATGACCTGAAGGTGCAGATGTCCAAATCACTTCAGTGTCTGCTGAGATTCTGGTAGCTAGAGGCTGGTGAATGGCTCCTCACTGCTGGGCTCCTCCGGCTGGTCCATGGGAGGTTGGATGCTTGTGTCTTCTGAAGGCTGCGGACCAGGAGGAGGCAGCTCGACCACACTGTCGCTGCAGTGGACGGATGTGATGCTGTCTACTCTGTCTGGCTGCTGCTCACGCTGGGGGCTGAAAACGTGGATTATTTTCTACAATTCTACAATTTCATTCAGCAGATGCTTTTATCCAAAGCATCTGAGAGAAGATACAATACGAGCAAGGATCTAGTCAGGAGAAAACAACCTGGATAAGAACTGTGGAACAAGTTCAAGTGTGACAGGGTGCTGATGCCAACAGCAGGCTGTGTGGGAGGGAATAGGATTGTTTTTATTTATTTTTAATTTTCAGGCTGTCAAGTGCAAAGCTGTTCAGTGAAGAGCTGGTCTTTAGTCTTTTCTTAAAGACTGAGAGGGAGTCAGCAGATTGAACAGAGTTTGTTTTAATTCCAGGTCAGATCTGTCAGCACCAAAAGACCTGCTCTCACTTACAGAGCGACTCCAGAGCTGGAGAGCCCAGAGGTGGAGAGATTCATGGCCTTCCACAGGTGTCCGACCCACTCCTTCCTGAGAGCCGCCGTCTCTGCTGCCTGCACACAAACACACTCAGTTTGCAGGATTTGGTCCAAGCTGGTGCCACAGAACTGGGCCCGCTCCTCTCAGCCTGCAGACTCTCAAACACAGCCAAGACTCACCAACACTTTCCTTTTTCCGTTTGTCATGACGATTTCAAACATGAAGCGATGTCTGTCAGTTTTCTGGACTTCTCTTACCGACTGCACCTGGACCAACAGGTGGACAGACGGATTGTAAGTCAGTGTCATGTGTCCTCACAAAGCCCTCAGTAGACGCTTCAGCAGTGAACACTTCAGTCAAAGCACTCTGAGCTCTGTGCGAAAGGAGTCTGTGTCACAGTGCTGGTAGGTGAACATCTATCATCCAAAATTAACTCTGCAGCCTGACAACAGCCTCCGAGTTATAAACAGCTGTCTTCAGTCACTCTGAGAACAAAGAGTCCTGCCGAGGCCTCTAAGGAGGCTCAGTGTCCACACGAGGAGACGCTGAGACAACCTGAATCCATGACAGAGCTGTGGCCAGTTCTCCAAGGTGCTTGAAAAACCGAGACAGACGGTGCTCTGACCAGCTCTTGGCCTATTTATTGCACTGAATGCATGATTTTTTCTTTAACGTTGCAGCCCAATGCCCAGCACTGTGCACATTACTCTACATGTCAATGTCACAATAAACCAGCTGCTCAAAGTGCTTGGTACACATCACAGCCCATGACATGGAAGCAGCACGGCACAGACACGTCATATTAACACCAATCTGAAACCGTTCCCACTCACCTGTATCTCTACTGTTACTATAAATAACATCAAAATGCCAAACTGACCTTACACATAAAGCATTGTGTTACTTCCCAGAACTGTAGAGTCAGTGTCCCATGTGTGAACTTACTGTGTAGATGTAGTAATAGCCTCTCAAGTGCGACTGTGAAGAGATTAATGTCAATGTTAGAAGTCTGTAGAAAAATTCAGCTTGTCCTGTATTTGTAGGCAGGTAGTTACTGAGTCCAGATGTGATCCATCTAAAGGACGCAGCGCCACAGTAACGTACTCACAGCACTGCCATTCTTCTTGGTGTAGAAGAACAAGGTTGTGTTTTGGAGTCTGAACCAGTATGTGACCCACCTCATCTTCTACCGGCAAAAACACACAAAACAACCTGAGTTTCTGTCTAACTCAGCAACAACCAAAGTCCAAGAACAGTTCACGACTCACCAGAGTGTCTTTTCTCTTCTGCAGAAAGCCCTCGAACAGCAGCTTGGTTCCATCTGCAGACATGTTGACTGTGAGCAGGAGCTTCTCTGGGGCTGCCTGTTCGCTCTCTCTACCTGTTCCTGTGTCACTTCCTCGTCACTGAGCTGACGGCAGTGTCGTCTGCAGCCCTCATCACTGTCTCACTTCTCTATTCGGTGCCACAACACTCCCAGTTGTTCTGAGAAGCAGCTCATCTACGTGCATGTGGAATGAACAAGGCTGCTGCTGCTATTAAAGGACGCTCACACACACTTCAGAGGGTGTAAATGTCATTTATTACAGTTATTTAAAACCACTTATTTTCTTCTTGCTGTTAAAGTAGCTGTAGTTCACCCGTTCGCACGCATACAGCCGTGTCACATCGTACATGTCTCTACTGTAGATGCTGGAAAACAAGAAAGGCTTCCATAGCTTTAAGGTGGGACAGGTGTGCTGAGCAGCTGTTAGTTGCAGGATTTCTTGCTCCAAGGTGCGTCTAACTTCAGAAAAATATAATGCAAGACAAAGCTCTATTTGAAAATCAGAAAAATAAAAACACAAAGCAGGTAAATGAGGCGCGATGAAGACAGCTTTGATAATACTAAATACAAAAATACATGAAAATGTAAGTGGCTTCATCTGATCCATGCGGTGAAATCCAACAGACAGGAAAACAAACGACCGGGTTAATAAATTAACACGCAAAGCAAACAAGCGCACCACATCCGTGACCGGTCCAGTGCTGGATGCAGCGGTTTGTCTAACACCTCCTGTTGGCGTGATGCTGTCTACACGTCTGGAATACACACATAATATACTGCATATACACATCTAGAAACAGACTCCAGTCCGTCTGCGGTGCGTCTGTCTGGCTGCCTCTCTCTGGTCCACCAGCATCTGACCTGTACTGACCTGAGAGCAGAAAGGAGGGCTGACGAGCTGAAGCATCCACCAGCTCCTGACCAACAGACCGCAGCATTTACAAACTGACTGATGAACTAGTGACATGTCTAAAACAATCGGCCCCTTCACCCACAAATAAACCAAAACTAAACCACACTCTCATAGAAATGCACCGATGACTTTGACGTTTGTTTCTTGCCCATGTTGTACTGTGAGAAAGGGATGAGGTGGAATCAGCCAGTCTTTATTTTCTTCAGGTAGGAGGGGAGGGACAGCAGAAGGAGGAAGTCTCATCACCGCTGTTTGAGCAGCGCTCTGTACATGGCGAAGCCCAGCACGGCGAACACCGTGGCCCCGACGCTTGCTCTCAGCCAGAAGGTGGAGTTCTTCAGGTCGGCCTGGGCCATGTGCCTGTCAGAGGGGAGCAGACGGAGCAGGTGAGCGCAGAGAAAACACAGAGCAGAGCAGCAGCATGAGCCACCATGAACCACCGTGAGCACTGAGACGCCTTTGCTCGGCTGGTGAAACCAAACTTCCTGAATCAGGACCACAGATGACGAACATCAGCGCCCAGTGACACCAGCCTGAAACAGGAGCACGTGCTGTCCTTGACATTTGGTTTAGTTTTGGTTGGGGGAAGAGGATCAGACAATGAAAGCAAAGGATGAAAGAAGCAGAGGTTGGGTCACTGAGAGAAGCTGCTCTAGTTCACAAACCGTAGAGTGGAGCCCAGACGGCTGAAACCAAAACGAATGTCTCTCATTTTAGTGCTTCATTGATCTTAGCTGGACTTTAGTGTACATTATATAGCTCCTTCTCTTGTGTGAGAAAGCATGACACGTTTGAAGCAAAGTATAAATACATGATGCTGAAAACTGTGTTTCTGGGATACAACATGGACTAAAGCTAAAGGTTGGGTAATATTATACTGACATCCCACATCAGGCCCTCTGCACTATTGCATTCATGTGAAGTTAAAATGAGAGAAAAACTCTGAACTCAATAACACAAATTAGTTGTTTAGTTTCAGGACACCTCCTGAGCTCTGGTCGAACTCCGACCGAGCCGGCCAGAAACACAAACACTGGTGAACTAAGCAGACCAATAAAGGGAAGCAGGGAAGGAGGCAGCAAAGAGGAGAAAGAGACACAAGCGTTCTGTACGGATCCACATTTAGTGGCTGCAACACCCAGGGACCTACAGGACCACAGAGACAGCAGCTACACACCAGAGCCTCCACTGAAACAGAACCACAGCGTCCAGTCACTGACCGACTCCCCCATAAGCCACAGCAGCGTCTCTGCCTTTACCTGTCAGGATCTGCTGCTCAGAGGCCTCCACAGACGGACCCGTCCACGCTGGAGACGCTGAGACCTGCTGCGTCAGGCTGAGCTCCCCGTCCCCCCC